CATCTTTAGCATCAAAGCCCTCAAGAGCTTGATAGATGCTTCTCATTTGTTTTCGATCTTACACCAGCCCTAACCTAAGAAAAATGTAATCATCACCGAAGTCCACAACAGAAAAGAAGTCAATAAAGTCCAACTTATAGATCTAATCCAGTCTGCCACCTGATTTTGTAAGGAACATTACTGGAATACAGTGATGCTGATCCATTTATAGATGTATTGAGCTGTACAAGAAACAATCCAGATAAACTCTCTCACGCTTGCATTTGTTTTCTCAATTTCTCGTCTTAATGGTAAACTTATTGTCCATTTCTAAGTTCAGAACTTAGGTCATGGGCCACTCAGTAAATGTCCTTTAGTGAACTGATCTTCTATTTGCGCTGAAGTCTCCTTGAAGTGATAGGGATTTGTTATGGTTTGAATAAGAATGTAACTCTCCAATTGGTAGAATTATTTTGAGAGGTTGTGAGAATTCAGGAGGTTAGACCTAGCTGGAGGAAGAGGATGGGTAAGGGAAGTGTCTTTAAAGAATATACCTCTTTGCTTCCTCTTTTTTTCTGCTTCTTGTGTGACATAAAAGGAAGAATGTCCTGGTTCACATGCCCCTGCAATCATAATGTCCTGCTCAGAAACCTGGTCAAGTGACCATGGCCTAAACCCTCTGAAACTGTGAGCCAAAATAAGTCCTTCCTCCCTTATATTGTTTCTGTCATAAACTTTGTCCCAATGATGAGGAAAATAAAACTAACACAGAATCTGACCCGGATCCCCCTTGAGGTAGGTGTGGTTATTCTGGGAAAGTGGTCCACATAGGAAAGTTCTGCTCAGATTAAAGTGTCCTGTCTCTTGGCAAGTCTCTTGGCAAGTGACTGCTGATGGTGAAATATGACTCAAAGCATAGATATCAGGGTGTTACACAACTCAAACCAAAGGGATTGCACCTATAGCAGAGATTATCATGAAAACCAAGACAGATCAGGACCCAAGTGGCTACAAGAGTATACTATAGCCTTAAGATAGCCATAACCCCAATGCATACAAGTTGTGTGAACTTGGGTAATTGCTTTTCTTCTCTAGGCTTGTTTTCTCTCTGGAAACCCAAAATATTTCTCACCCTCTAAGGCTAGTTTGAAGATAATCTGAGATAATAATGTACTAAAATAAATTAAAACATATTAGATTCTGAAATAATTACTGAGTATCTACTCTATGTCTAGGTCTTGGACTGAGTACCAGAAACAGCAAACTAAAAGTCCTTATGAAGCCTTTCTTCTCATGGGGAAAAATAAAAATCAATAAGAAAACATTTAATATTTCAGAAAAAAATTGAAGACAGGTTAGAGATACTGGGTGGATAAAATCAGAAGTGGATTGCTCCTTTATATAAGGTGGAGAGAAAAGTCCTTACTAGTAAAGTAACACTTGAGCAGAGACCTCACCTGAGTAGAGACCTAAAGGCAGCGTGGAAGAAAGCTATGCAAACATCCAAAAATAAAATGTCCAAGGCAGAAAGATCAACATGTGCAAATAAAATGGGAGACAATTGGACATGTTTAAGAAACAGTAATGCTTTTAAAATGCTAAGCTTTAGTTTTGAGATAGAAATACTTGATATACTAATATAAAGTTAAAATCGTGCCCTAGTTTCAAAAGGATACAGTATAAGGAGATACTGGTCAAATAGTCAAATAAGTTATAGGCTTGGGGATCGAGCAATGCCAAATACATAAAAACTAGACATTTGATACCCAGAACACATACTCTCTCCTCTCTCTCTTTCTCTCTCTCCTCTCTCTCTTTCTCCTCTTTTTCTTTCTCTCTCTCTCAACTCAATCTATGTTACACTAAGTGCTTTACCATTGAGCTGTATTCTTGGCCCTGACTAGACTTTTTTTTAACTCAAATTTACTTAAAATATCAAATCTAGGTCATTTTATTGTTCTTACTTTAAAATAATTAGTTACTTAAGTGCTTCAATATATCAAGAACTGACATATTGGTTGGTTCTAAGTTATTTGAAGACAGAAGATGCCTCAGACCCGTGTATATTTCTGAGTGAGAAAATTCATTTTCCATTAAAATAAAACTATCACCTCTTCTTTCTTCAGTAGGCTAAGACATATGAATTAACTCTGTGTTTGTATATGGCTAGGAAAAGCTCTCTCCTCCCTCCTTCCCTCCCTCCCTCCCTCCCTCCCTCCCTCTCTCTCTCTCTCTCTCTCTCTCTCTCTCTCTCTCTCTCTCTCTCTCTCTCTCTCATTGAGTGATAAGCTAAGTTTCCAGATTCCTCCAGGAAGAAAAGAATGCACCCAGGAAGTTTGATCTCAATTGATGGCATCTCCTCACCTTAATGACTAATTGAGTTATCTTATTTACATCAGAGCTGTCCAACAAAACCCTAATGTGCACCAGCAATGCTCCCATTGTCTCTCCTGTACTTTGGGAGCTCTTGAAGGTACATTCTGATACTTTGATGTACATTCACTGGATGGTCAACCTCACTTCCAATAACCCTGCCTCTCTTTAAAGCACAGAGGAAACAAATTGCCTTCAATCACTTCCAAAATCAGAGGGAGAAAAGGAGGATCTTCAAAAAATTTCACAATTTAATAGGTGTCTCTGGCTGACATTGTTCATTATCTATCTTGATTTATTAAGTAAATACTTTAAAACACTAATTTATTTAATCCTGAAACCATTTCATGATGCATATATTCCGATGTACGCACTTTGCAGATGCGGACCCTGAGGCACAGGCAGGTCTACTCTTATCTAATCCATCCTCTAGAAAGTACTGGAACTGGAACCACCTGGCTTTGGAAAGATTTTCTTATATTAAGTCACTTGGTCACTACTCTGACTTTTCTATTTATCTGGGTCCAGGCTTTAAAGGCTGAAGAGGAGGTTTACAACTGGAAGAAAAATGGATGGGGATATGGAATAAAGGATTTTAAATTATGCAGCGTTTTCCTGATTGTAAGTTTAAAAAATTTTCATGAGAGAAATTACAAATTATAGAAAATACAAAAAGAAATTATCATCCCAAATAATCATTATTAGTATTTTGTTCTGTGAATATTCAAGTTTTTCCCTCTAAATATTAGCAAATAAATATGGGAGATTTGATGTCTCTCTGCTTTGTTCATTATATAATACATTATGCATATTCACATCATCATTGAAAATTATTTGAACATTTTTTCCAGTGACTACATAGGAATTCATAAGAATATGTCATAATTCATTTTACTGTTGAATATCTAGATTGTTTCTATATTATTTTGCATATATCAACATATACATATACATATATGCCATCCTCAAATACTCAAGATCATCTTAGCTTATTTTCTTTAACATATGTTTCCAGACATGAAACTACTGGGTCAAAGGATACTCGGGATTTAAAAGCTTATATAAACTCCTTAACCAATGGCCTGAGAGAAAGACGGTAGCAATTTGAAAGAGAAAGAAAATTATTTTCTTCTGCCTCAAGCTGCTGCTTTAGATATACACACACACACATATGTGTATACACACATGTATGTATATACACATATACACATATACATATATATGTGTGTGCATACATGTATATATATATATATATAATACGTATGTCAGTCATGGGGCTTGAACACTGGGCCTGGGTGCTTTCCCTCAGCTCTTCAGCTCAAGGATAGCGCTCTACCACTTGAGCCACAGTGCGACTTCTGGTTTTTTCTGGTGGTTTATTGGAGATTAGAGTCTCATGGACTTTCCTGCCTGGACTGGCTTTGAACTGTGATCCTCAGATCTCAGCCTCCTTAATAGCTAGGATTACAGGTGTGAACCACTGATGCCCAGCAGCTGTATACATTTTAAAATACACCCTGTGCTGACAGATCCTTAGATAAAGAAGTCATTCATATAGACAGTCAAGGAACATTCAGGACAAATATCTTTTCAAAGTATCAAAATACTATGTTAGCTGGGTATCAGTGGCTCATACCTAATCCTAGCTTCTCAGGAGGCTGAGATCTTAGGATCGTGGTTTGAAGCCAGCCCAGTGAAGAAAGTCTATAAGACTCTTATCAGTGTTAAACCACAAAAAAGTAGAGCTGTGGCTCAAGTGGTAGAGCACCAGCCTTGAGCAAAAGTAGTTAGGAACAGCACATAGGCCCTGAGTTCAAGCCCAAGGAGCAGCACCAAAAAAAAAAAAAAATATATATATATATATATATATATATATATATATATATATATATATATAAAACAAATTTACAAGGATAAATAAGATTATGTATAGACTATACCAATTACTGGTTTGTTTTGACTTCAATATTGCAAAAATTATATTAACTTGGGCTAGGAAGGTGGCTCAGTGGTAGAGTGCTTGCCTTGCATGCAGGAGGCCCTGGGTTCGATTCCTCAGCACCACATAAACAAAAAGAAAAAAAAGCCGGAAGTGGTGCTGTGGCTCAAGTGGTAGAGTGCTAGCCTTGAGCTGAAGAGCTGAGGGACAGCACCCAGACCCAGAGTTCAGGCCCCACGACCGGACCCCCCAAAAAAAGAAAAATTATATTAACTTGAAACAAAAATAGTATTTGCAATTATATTCTTGGAAGGTTTTTTTTTTTTTTTTTTTTTTTTTTTTAAATTTTATTTTATTTTATTTGAGAACATACTGTACAGAGGGGTTACAATTACATGGGCAGGATAATGCATACATTTCTTACCAAGCATTGCATCCTCCTCCTTTGTTTACCCTTCACCTCCCTTCCCAGCCTCCCCCCTCCCTCCCACCCAATCATACCCCCCCTCCCCCCCCCCCCACCTTTAAACTACATTCTTAGTTAACATTCAAATTCAGAAGCAGTATTTAAGTCTTTTCAGGCCTGTTATTTTAAGGCACGGGGACTGTTTAGTATAAAAAGAAGCTCTTGAGTTATTGAACTGGTGTCAGTGATACACTCTAATCCTTACTGAATTTCTCTGTATGATTTTTTGTTTTCAGTTTGACACTACAGCTACTGCAGTTATTATGACTCGGTTAAGTACCAGAGACAAGTACATTCAAATGTTAGCTTGTAGTGACACTATAGAAAGCAGGTAATACAGAAAAATTCTAAAAAGATAATAATGCTAATACAACTTGTCTTTTTTCTTTTAAATATTACAAAAAAACTTAGCTTGGTGGTTTTCTAAGGTGATTTTCTTCAAAATTTCCAACAGTTGAACTAAAGTCATTTTAAGATACTAAACAATTCTTTTTTAAAAATAGCAATAAAATAATTTTATTCAAGGGTGCTTTTTGTCCTTTGCTTAAAAGGCCTAAATTGTAATAAGATCTTACCAGCTATTATTACATTAAATTTTATAAATATGAAAATTTATAATTACTAATTTATAGTAAATGATTATAATCTTTAAATTTGTTTTATAATACGAAAGACAATTTGAGAGAAAGGCATTCAGTATTTAGTAGGAAAATAGGATATAATTCAACTCTTCACACATACCCTTTCAGTTTATTTTATTATTAAGTATTTGTACAAAGAGGTTACGGTTCCATAAGTCAGGTTATGAATACAATGCATCTTGATCATTGTCACCCCTTTCAGCATTCTCTCCCATTTTCCCCCTTCCCATTCCTACCCTCAATTTACATAGTTCAGTTTTTACATAACATACATTGAAAATAGTGACTGCATTTGCTCACTCTTCCTCCTACCCTTTTTTAAAGTGTCAGTGTATCTTCTAGAGGCATAACAAGTAGAAGTTGAAGTTTGTAGTTGAATTGACTTTTTCAGATTTTCTCTTACACTTTTAGAAATTGTTTTCTTTCATGAATTGTTAAATAAGCAGTGAGCATATTGAACATAATTAAAGTTAAAAGTAAGGTGATGTTTTCAGATTCATATTAATAATGCCGAGTTTTTTTCCCTAGTTTGCACAGACATCTTATTGAACATTTAAACGCAGAGATAGTATTACATACTATCACCGATGTGAATATTGCGTTGGAATGGATACGATCAACCTTGCTTTATATCAGAGCCTTGAAAAACCCATCTCATTATGGTTTGTTACATTGTCCTGGAAAAGTAATAATTTTTTCAAGTCACTGAGCCTCTGTTTATACTAAGAGTTCACAAAATAGATTACAGAAACTAATAGATAACAGAAACAAAAAAGTAATAACAGTCACAAATACTTTTAGAGGCAAGAGTAGGCGAAAGAGGAAACTTTATGTGTTCTATTATAATCTTTTTAATGAGCTTTACAACTCACACCATTAAAGATAGTACCAGAGAGAAAGCTTCAACTAGTAAAAATAAGAAAAATGCCTAATATTTAAAATAGTTAATTTTTAAGTCTTCAATCTTTTCCATACTAAATGGTCAACTGCCTCTTATTCTGAATTTGTGTCTGTTCATTATTTTGTAAGAAATTAAATTCACTTATATTATTTCTGTGGCCTTTCATTCTAGCTCTCAAGCTAAGACACATCTAGTTCTCCTACATTGTTTCCTATAGAACAAGTTAAAAGCTTAAAATAATTAGGATTGCTGAATACCAGAACCTGACTCATTGCAATACCATTCTAATGCAACACAGGTTCAAAACTTTCAGATTTCCAAGGATAATATAAGCCTTTTTACAAAAGAATCTCAGCCAGGGTGTGGTAGCAGTCATCAGTAACTCCATCACTTGGAAAGTAGAGGCTGAAGGATCTCAGTTTGAAGGCTGGCTTGAACTAGCACCTGTTTCAACTAAAAAGAAAATACCTCCATGAATAACTGTGTTATTTAACAATCTGTATTTCTACTTAGAGAGTATTTTTGCTTAGTTCAAAAGTCAGTATCAGAATATAAATATTATTATTTTTATTTACTTTTTTGTCAGTCATGGGGCTTGAACTCTGGGTCTGGGCACTGTCCCTCAGCTCTTCAGCTCAAGGCCAGAGCTCTATAACTTGAGCCACAGTGCCACTTCCAGTTTTCTGGTGGTTTTTTGTTTGTTTTTTGGGTCCGGTCATGGGGCCTGAACTCTGGGCCTGGGCGCTGTCAGCTCTTCAGCTCAAGGCTAGCGCTCTACCACTTGAGCCACAGTGCCACTTCCAGCTTTTTTCTTTTTGCTTATGTGGTGCTGAGGAATCGAACCCAGGGCCTCAGGCATGCAAGGCAAGCACTCTACCACTGAGCCACCTTCCCAGTCCCTTCCGGTGGTTTTTTGGAGATAAGAGTCTCATGGACTTTCCTGCCCAGGCTGACTTTGAGCCGTGATCCTCAGATCTCAGCCTCCTGAGTAGCTAGGATTACAGGTGTGAGCCACCAGCACCAGGCTAAGGTCTTTATTTTTAATCACCACTGTTTACTGTTTTGTACCTTTTTCCTTTTTAAATTGTTTGCTATTGTGAACAAAGTGGAAAAGTAACTGTTTGCTATTGTGAACAAAGTGAAAAATAACCTTGTATTTTTCAAAGTGTAAATGCATTTGTATATAAATATCTAGAATTACTGGGTAAATTTTTAAAATTTGATACTTGTTGCTACATTGCTACCTTAATGACTTACATAGCAACCAACTTTGTTCGATGGTGCCCTATTGTTTCTGTTTGTTCAGCCTTACCTTCAGGGTATATTTTTATCAGTGTTATGTATAAATAATGTTCTGTTTTAATTTGCATTTCTTCCTTCTCATGCTTGCTAGACAGGTGCTATCCCACTTGATCCACACCTCTATCCCTTTCTGTTTTAGTTCTTTTATGGATAGGATCGATGAAGTTTTACATATGTACACACATACGCATAACCACACCCAGATCAAGATAAGGAATATTTCCCACAGGTTACTTCATGCCAATTTCCTGTCAAATATTAACCACTTCAAAATGAATATTAAGCTCCCATCACAATATATTAGCTGCATTCTTGATACAAATGCAAGCATTTACTTATAATATTTACCCTTTTTCTCTAGTTTTGTTTGCTCAACATAATATTAATGAGAGTATTCCATTATAAGTAGGTGTATTCATAGTAGTTTGTTCTTTGCTATTATTGTGCTGTTCCCAGTATGGATATACAATTTAGTCATCTATTACGATTTTTGAATGTATCTTTTTTTTTTGTAGGTACTAGGGTTTGAACTCGGGGCTTTATACTTGCCAGGCAAGCACTCTACCACTTTAGCAACTACTCTCCTCTTGTATGGATCCCACCCCCCTTTTTGTGTCAGTCATGGAGCTAGAACTCTGGGTCTGAGCGCTTTCCCTCAGCTCTTCAGCTCAAGGCTTGCACTCTACCACTTCAGCCACAGCACCACTTCCAGTTTTCTGGTGGTATATTGGAGATGAGTTTCATGGCTTTGCCTGCCTGGGCTGGCTTTGAACCACAATCCTTAGATCTCAACCTCCTAAGTAGCTAGGATTACAGGCGTGAGCCACCGGCACCCAGCATCCTGTATGTATCTCTTGTTGGTTATGAGCATTCATTTCTTTGGAGTATATCTATGTAAGAGTAGTAAAATAAAGTAGGCCTATAACTTATGTTTAGCTTTAGTAGATAACTCAAACACAGTAATTTTCCTAAAGCAGTTGAACCAACTTACCCTGTCAACAGCTATATAGAAGAATTCTAGTCCTTTACATGATTATCAATAATTGGTTTTATTAGTTTTTAATATCAGTCGTTGCCCTGTGTTGTGTGTGTTTGTGTATAGTATGTATATGAGGAGTAGTTGTAGCATAGTAGTAATAGTAATGGTAGTAGTAGTTGTTGATTTGATTTTGCATTTCCTTGTTGAGTACTTGCACTGGGACCTTTTCGTATTGGTCATTTGAACATCTTGTTTCAGAAGTACCTGTTCAAATCTTTTACCTACTTTTAAATCACATTTTTTGTATTTTTATGGTTAATATATAGAAGTTGTTGAGTAAAAAGCTTGTCAAATGTATATATTCAAATCTTTTCTCCAAGTTTGTTGGTTTTTCACATCCTAAAAGCATCTTTGATTTAAAAAAAAATTCTTAATTTTAAATAATACTGATGTGAACTTATATATATATATATATATATATATATATATATATATCCTTCAGTATGAAAATATTTGTATAATTGTGTTAGTAGCATATGTACTTTTTACAAAATAGCAGTTTTCCAAAATGGTTGTATTACTACTCTTTCATAGAAGCATTCTTTTTGTTTTATTCTGTTTTGGTTTGGTTTTTTGTTTTGTTTTGCTTTTTTGCTGGTTTTGGGGCTTGAACTCAGGGCCTGAGCTCTGTCCTTGAGCTGTTTCATTTGAGCCACAGTTCCATTCCTGGTTTTCTGGTGGATAATTGAAGAGTCTCATGGATTTACCTACCCAGACTGGCTTTGAACCCCAATCCTCAGATCTCAGCTTCCTGAGTAGCTAGGATTATAGATGTGATCCACCAGTGCTCATTTTAGAATGAAAATCCATTAGAAAATAGTCACTTGGCAGATGATTGTGTGTAAAACCTAAGCGATTTGTTTCACATAGTTCTTATTTCACATAGTTCTGTTCACTGCTAATACAAAAAAGAGGCAAAAGATAGCCAATTGGTATTGAAAGGATTGTAAAACAAATAATTTATAGAGAGTTCATCGCATCAATTCATTAAGCTATTTTTCCTATATGATATTTAGTACTCTTCTCCAAGTGATGGTATAAACTGAACCTATAAAAGATAAGTTAAATCCACTCTATTTTAACTTTTTAATAAATTTTCATGGCTTATACAGGTTTTAAATCTGGATTGAACAAAGAAGGAATTGAAGCAAAATTACAAGGTTAGATGAATTTCCTCCCAGAAATAACATGTTCTAAAATTTTTATGAACGCAAGCATATTCTTTTGTAAACTATTACTAAATAGCAAACTTCTTTTCAGAAAAAAAGTATAAACTAGTTCTTTTCCACACATAAATAAAGCTTAGCATTTAGATTAATATTGTATATAGTATGTTAACTTGGCTTATTTATTTGTACAGTGACCATAGTGTTTGAAAATGCTGCTTAGTAATAAAATTATTTTTATTTTGTAGCCTAGTTTTAATTGAAAATAAGCTTACATTGATGATGAATTTCTTATCCCTATTTTGCCAGTGATATTTTCTTGTCATATCCCAGCTTTCTTATTCAATTAATCACTTAGTGTTTTACTGCTTGTGTCTTAAAAATATAAAAATATTAGGCACTTATTAGAATTAGATATTCTAGCTCTTCATTGTGTTGAGACTGTCTTTCAGTGAAAGAAAAATAATGAATTCATTAAAAATATTTTGTGAACTTTAGTTTTTTTGTCTACTTTGATAATCACATGTGGTCAATATAGCTTCAAAGATATGGATAAAGTCATAAGCTATCTTCTTTAAAGAGTAAATTTGTTGTTGAAACAATGATAACTATATATTCGTAATGTGCTGTTGAAAAATACTTGTAAATTATCCACAACTGACTAATTTTCTAATTTTTTTTAAACTGAAGTATATTTTAATAATAATGATTAAACACATAAACAAAATCAGATAATTCAAGGGATATTTAACTATATAACTTTAATATTTTATCTTTTGTTAAGTTGGGAGAATTATTGTTCATGCTTGCCTTATTTTCATAGATAAGTTTTGCTTATAAAGAACATTATATAACTGAAAAGAATTGGTAATGTAAAGAAGAAAACAATTAGTATCTTTTCCTTACTCACTGCAATGTTCATGGCTGATATACGTATAAGAGAAGATAGATGGATAGGAGAAAAGCATAATATATTTATTTAATCAAAATTTTACATGCCATTGGAACCTTCCAAAATGGAGATCCAGAGATCCAAAGAATTTTTTCTGAAAAGAACTTTACTATTTAATGTGTGATTTTATTCTTAAGTATGATGAGAGGTAGACAGTTGTGTAGAATTATGACTGCCAAAATGAGTATCACCAATTGGTAATAAACTGAAACTTAGAAAGGCCAGTTTGTTAGATTTTTCTTGGCCTATTTGTGTATCATTCCTTCCTCTTGGATGTATGGTAGGAACTCTTTAGATTAAGTGTCTACAAACTTAGGAAGGTCAGAATATTACTGTGCTTCAAACAGAAAGGCAGACAGATTATAGTAATCTATGATTCTGAAGCCTTTGTATCTCCGTTGTTTTAGAGTACTTTGGGGTAGTATTTTATGAAGTCTGCCTTAAATCTCTCAGGAAAGGACCTTAGCATAATGTGTGCTGCATTCTAAACTTGATTATGTCTTCTTGCTCAATGTCCTGCAGTAACTCCACCTCACTCTTAGAATAAAATGCAAATTCTCACCAGAGCCCACAGAATCCTACTAGATTCATCCCTGCCTGTTTTTCTCACTTTAGCTTTCCCCCTTGTTCATTCTTCTGTCTCTATATTGGCTTTTGTTTTTTTAATTAAACCTAGTTGTTCTTACTCAGGTCTTTTACACAGTCTGTTTCTTGTTCTTGAAACACTTCTCAAGTATTTCACATGGCCTATATCTTTATTTCATTCAAGCCTCTTTAAAAATCAGCTACTCAGCGTAGTCTTTCTATGTATCAGCTTATTTAAATCTACTTTTACTGAGAGAAAGATAGATTTTTGTGATGTCATTTTTGTTGCTCTCCTTGTTCTTGGAGAAGATAATGTCTTTATTTTGAAAATCAGGGTGACTATATACTTCCTTTATATTAGAAATTATGTAGCAATATATTAGAAATACAAGATTTAAAAGTTTAAAAAAACCTTACATTCTCTTTAGCCTTTCTCAGCTTTACTTTTCATGATAGTAGCTTTCAATACCAAAACTTTTATTTGTGTAGATTGCTTTTTTAAACCACAATTTGCTGATTAAGTAAAATATAAGGAAAATACACTGCTGTGAACCTAGTAGATAAACCTTTAGAATAGTGCATAAAGTATAGTAAGCATTCTTCCTTGATTGGTTGACTGATTAATGGGTAATGAGCTGCCTTATTATGTCTAAGCTGGGAGCCTATGGCTCATGCCTATAATCCCAGTTCCTTAAAACACTGAGACCTCAGGATTACAATCCAAAGCCATCCTGGGAAGGAAGTTGGTAAGACTCCATTTAACCACCAGAAAAGCCAAATAGGACTGTGGCACACAAGTGGTAGAGTGCTAGCCTTAAACACAGAAGCTCAGTGACTCCCAGGCCCTGATTTCAAACCTCAGGACCAGCACATACCCACAAATGTCTAAGAAAATTAGAAAAGACTTCAAGAGCTTTAATTAGCAAACACATTAAACTATCCAACTGCCAAAACAATGTTGCTTAAAGTATTTCCTAAGCAAACACTTCTAATGACTCTGTGTGTGTGTGTGTGTGTGTGTGTGTGTGTGTGTGTGAGAGAGAGAGAGAGAGAGAGAGAGAGAGAGAGAAAGACAGACAGAGAGACAGAGACAGAGAGAGGAGGGGAAGAGGATTGAATAGGTTTTACTACTTACTCTGCTCTGAACTATCTTAGTTTTTCTGGGTTCTACTATGGGGTAGATTAAAAATTGTAATTAGCAGAATACACTTATTAGTGATCTACTAATCCATGTCAATTGTAGTAATAGGGCTTCCTATTCCAGGTAGAAATGGTGATTGTGCTCAGTTAGATGGAAGTAAATACTGAAATCATCAACTAAAACAGGTTTACGTGGTTGTCCAATGAAGTACAAACAGGAAGGAGGGGAAAGACTGGGGGTTTGTAACAAATTTTGTAGGATTATTTGACTATATACTTTGAGCATAAGTCTTTTTGATAAAAATTTAAAACAAAGAAAAATAAAGTTGTTTCATATTGGAAAACAAATAGCACAACAATTCCTTCAACCTAGAGCAAATTACTTAGCCTCTACTCTTCAGTTTCCCAACCTGTGTATGGAAATAATAATATTATTTTGAGAATTAACTAGGTAATACATATATATTGTTTCAAGTGCTCTATGTGCTAAATCTCCTTTTATTATTAAATGTTTTTATTTATACTATTGTTACTATTAGAAACATTTCTATAGCATATTTAATAATAATTCTATTTTGCCTTATTTCCCTGTTTCACTGAAATGATTTTTATTATTGAACAGAATTATGTTTGAAAAATCTTAATGACTTGTCATCCCTGGACTTGATAAAGATGGATGGTGATGTTAATTTCAAACCAACAGGTAATGTTTCTTATGATTGTTGGTAAATTTAATTATTGTTGCCCTAACAAAAATTTAATTTTTTTCTCCTCAAATTTAGATCATAGTAAAACTAAATTGTAATCTCCATTATCAACCAAGAGTAGAGGTTAAGGAAATGTTGTTAAAATGATTTTTAATCATTTAAAGCTAATATAGAGAATGTTTATTTTTTGTATTTTTTTCTTACAGAGTCAGGAAGATTGATGGCTTGGTATTATATTACATTTGAGACAGTGAAGAAATTTTGTACAATCAGTGGAAAAGAAACTTTATCAGATCTGGTAAGTTAACTTTCATGAGAACAATAAATAGGTAATGATATAGTACAAAAACTATTGGAGAAGAAACTATTATATATGCTTCATATAATTTATTATTGAACAAGTCAAAAGGAAAGCTTTTTCTTATTGTTGTTGTTGGTCATGGGGCCTGAACTCTGGGCCTGGGCACTGTCCCTCAGCTCTTCAGCTCAAGGCTAGTGCTCTACCACTTGAACCACAGCACCACTTCCTGTTTTTCTGCTAATGTGGTGCTGAGGAATTGAACCCAGGGCCTTATGCATTCAAGGCAAGCACTCTACCACTGAGCCACCTTCCCAGCCCCAAAAGGAAAGCATTTGTAATTACATCTCCCTTCAGTGTATCTCTGTCATAAGACATAAAATATGTCTTAGAATATATTTGGTCTTCAGTTGCATTTTTATCAGAGCTGAGAAAGTTTATATACATACTCAAAATAGGTGTAATAACTATTTACAACTTAACTGATAATGCTAATTAATTTGGTAGTGACAAATATGTGAGAGAGATTTCAGGACAATGTAGCATGATATATTAAGAAAGTCTGGTATGAGTAAAGGACAGTGAGTTGGAATCTAGGGTTGTGGCAACCTTTCCCTAAATCTTTTGCACCAGCATAGCAGTAACAGTTGAAATAAAATAGTATCAATTATAGTCCAGAAAAAAGAAATGATTATGAAGATGAGAATATTAAGTTAAAATGTCACAGTGGGGACAATTTTGCACCTGTAGCAGCCACATCACAGGCATATTCTTTCTTCCTTCCTTGTGTGTGTGTGTGTGTGTGTGTGTGTGTGTGTGTGTGTGAGTGAGTGTGTATGTATATGTATGTATGTGTCATAGGACTTGAACTCAGGGCCTGGGTGCTGTCCTTGAGCTTTCGTGCTCAAGCTAGTACTCTTAACACTTTGAGCCACAGTGCCATTTCTGGTTATCCAATGGTTAACTGGAAATAATAGTCTCACAGACTTTCTTCCCCTGGGCTGGCTTTGAACTGTGATCCTTAGATCTCAGCCTCCTAAGTAGCTAGGATTATAGAGCACCTGGCAACAGGCATATTTATAGTGCCTGTTGTCTACATTGATTCTTCCTCTCTTTGCTGGAAACATGAATGTGAAACAAGATACTTGTAAAATAAAATTTTTAATCTCAAATTGAAATGATTGTATTTAATTTTAAATACCTGTGTTGATTAGCATAATAAGATTAGTATACTAAGGATTATATAAGATAATGTTAGTTGTTATAAAGAAATCACCTGAACAAAATTTTATGAAAGGTAAAAGGTTTATATTTTCATGTAAATATTCTTCATTAAGAAGAAAATAAAAGTATAAAATATCCAATACTAACAATGACTGATCTGATCTTTAGTTTAACAAGAAAATTAGAACAAGTGTTAGTTCCATTTATAGATAAGGGAAACAAAGCACAGAGTGTGCTTACTAGTCATCTGACAAAGCTAGTCTATAAAATGCAAATTTTTTATTACCTGAAGCATTATTTTCTATTAAATATTTGGAATTATGACTGATAAGATATAGAAGGCTATAAAGGAAGACGAAAAAGAACAGTGTTTATTGAGTGCTTTTTACTATGCATTAGGCACTGGGTTGTATATTGTAAATTTTGTCTTTCTGATCTTTCTAATCTAATTGGTATAGTTCTAATGTCTAATTACATCACTTATTAAGTATAATATATAAAGCACGCTCTGAATTATTAATTGGTAAAACCATGGTGTCCCCAGGCAGCATGAAAAATAAGTAAATGTAGAGAAATAAGATGTGATAAAAGAAGTTGAAAATGAACTTAATATTAAGTGGACAAATTCCTAAATTCTGTAGGTCTCAATGATCGCCAGCTGTAATGAATTTCTAGATGTACAGTTAAGGATAAATGAAAAGAAAACACTGAATACTTTGAACAAAAGTCCAAATCGGATAACTATCAGGTACAGAAATTACATATATTTAAAATAACTTTATGAAGTTTTACTTAAAGTAGGTCATAAAAGTTTTTCCATATGTTTTTATTTATAGATTTCCAATGGACGGAAGAATTAAAACAACAGAAATGAAAGTAAATTGGTAATAATAATTTTTAATATTTTATTGTTTTGCCTACTGGTCCCTAGTTCATAGTAATGAAGGTTTACATCTACTTATTCTTTTTTTTTTTTGATATGGGGTGTCATGTAGACAAGGCTGGCAATCGTTCTACTTCTGCTCCCAAATTACTAGGATTACAGGTGTGCACCACCACTTTTGGTTTCTTTTTTAGCTTTAAAGCATATTTTAAATTTATTTTACATAATACAAAAAATAGAATATTCCCATTAAAATTAGGGGGCAGATTATAGATGTGAAATTAATTTTCAGGGATTTTCAGACTGGGGCTAGGAGAGCTGAAGAAGAACGATGGAAGGTGTGACATCAATCAAGATGGGGCATTGTACTCAAATTGTTATATTGAGTTGAAAGCTCTTTATCCAACTACTTTAATAACTAAAAAATTTAAAAACAACTTTCAGACTAATTAAAATGAATTTACTGGTTGGGAGTATAGCTCAATGGCAGAACACTTTCCTAACATGTGCAAGACCTTGGATTCAATCACCAGCACCATACCAAAAAAAGTGAATATTTTTAAAAATGAATATCGTTAAGAATGTGTTCTGTTGAGGTGAAAAGTAAACAATAGAAAAAATGTTCTGTTTATATTTATCATCAGGAGCTTTCAGGCTGGCTTGAATGATAACCATGCATAAAAATAATATCCACCATTAAAACAAATGTAATACGTGTATTTAAATGATAGTGACAGTCTAGACAAGACAAATAAGCCAACACATGAATTGAGGGAAGCATACATTATAGTGGATTACTATTCTGCTAATAGTGGGGAATGTATATATAAGTAGTAATTGGAACACTAAAGTTTACACTTGTCTACACAGTTTGAAATCACAAAGGCAGTAGTATGATTTTCTTCTATTCAAAGTACATTTCTAAGTATTTATGTTTTCTAAATATTTAGTACTAATGTTTCTAAGTATTTAGTACTAAGTATTAGTACTGAGGTCATTTTAAAGTACATTAAGCTCATTTTTAATGTAGCTTAATGAAATCAACTAGCCAATTAATTTTCTTCCTTAGCTAGAGATTATTATTTCTTTGGGTTATTTCCTGACATCTCATTGAATCTTATCTTCTAATATGCCTATGAAACAGTCTTCTAAATATATGTATGCAATTCATCATGCAGGTCTATATCTTGAACATAGACGCTAATATTTTATGTCTTAGCTGTATTTCTCTGGTAATTAACATGTCCTTAGAAATCACAGAGAACTAAGAGACTATGTAGTCCAAACTTGTCATTTTCAAATGAATCAGTAATATTTGGGTATGTTATGACTTGCCAAGTATGATGCTACATTAAGGACTAAGTTAGAACTAGAATCTGGGTGGCTTGATTCACTTAGTTGTTGTTTTGTTTTGTTTTTTTAAGTATACTCTGTTTTAGTTTGTTTGTTTATTTTTGCCAGTCCTGGAGCTTAAACTCAGGATGTGGGCACTGTTCCTGAGCTTCTTTTGCTCAAAGCTAGCACTCTACCACTTGAGCCACAGCACCATTTCTGGCTTTTTCTGTTTATGTGGTACTGAGGCACATGAACTCAAGGCATCGTGCATGTTAGGCAAGCGCTCTACCACTAAGCCACATTCCCAGGTCCCCTTTAAATATACTCTGTTACACTAGTTACTGAATCAAATCAAGGTATTTCCCTATAAACATTTTGTTTGAAATTTTAATGATTTCCTATACTCTGCCTAAAATTGGATTCTACACTCTTTTGATTAGGGCTGTCAGATTTAAAAATTGATGAGTTATAATTGGTTTTATGCATACCATAATTTAAATTATTACTATAATCTCCCACCTTTGTGCATCTTATTTGAGAATTGCCAAGAAAAGAGTATGCATCAATGTGGAGTTGTCATTTCTTATTGCAGAATTTACATGTGGTCTAACTTTTCACATGTATGCATTCCTGTTTTGCTAAATTTCAGATCTGTTCTTCTTTAAGTAGACATCAAAAGAGAGAGAGAAAGACTGAACTTTTGGAGGTTGGGAAAAGGAATTCAGAGATAATACAAACCAAGACAGAAACAATTTTTCAATCAATAATGTTGAATACTGTAACTTTTCAAAGGAAACAATGAAATTTCTTTTTCCACAGTCTTATCCAGGCCCAGCTAGGATGCATTCCTATACAAGATTTTGCTTTGACACAAGATACCTCGAAGATTTTCAGAAATGGTTCACGAATTGCAAGATGTATGTTTCAGGAGAGTGGATTTTCAGTGTTTTCTCAGTAAACTAGCACACCAAGTTTAACATTGGAAACTTTTTTTCAGGGCTGTCAGATTTTGTAGCTGCTCAAGAAAAGAAGTTTGCTGTGCTATTGAACACTCTGATTTTAGCTAAATGTTTTAGGTGTAAACTTTGGGAGAACTCTCTGTATGTATCCAAACAACTGGAAAAAATTGGTAAGTACTGAATACAGCAAGCAATTTGTTATTATCTGCAATTTATTTTACTTTTACTGTTGACAGTCATTCTATGATGAATATATAACTGTAAAAAAATGTGTTTTATGGTCCAAAATAAAGTACTTTATTTTGAAAGTCTAATTTTTATTTGCTCTTGCTTAAATGATTACATTTAAAATCAACTAAATAGTTCATGAGAAATGTCATCTGCTACTTTTTTTAATGCTTTTTTCTCATACTGATAGTGAGCTTTTGTTCCAATTATTAATTAAGTCTCTTCTCTGACTCATATTTTGCTTTGTTTTCAGTGACAAAATACAAAACTAGGAATCCTGGCCATTTTAAATTATTTACAGAAAATTATGTTATTTATGTATATTTTAACTTTTTCCATTTTCAATAATAGATTTTTATTACCAGTCTGTTGAAAAAAGATTAAAGGTGTCATTTATAAAAAACTGGAATTAGGCTCAAGGATTCTGGAATTATCCAGTTTTTACCTTTGACTTTCTGACCCTACTCCTTAAATGGCTACAATTGTAAAAGGAAGGCTCAGCTTCTACTTAAGTTGTGAGAAATGCCATATTCATTTTACAAAGACAAGTGTGTTCTAAACTGGCAAGGATTTTATTCAACATTTGGAAAATAGAACCTTAGAGAGCAATTTGAAATTAGGTGAAATAATTATTAGTGTTATTATTCTTGAAAAAGCCAGTCTTTCAAGGATATTAAGTGTGGATACCTGTTGCATTCTGTCCTCTCCAGATTGTCAAATACTAACTTGCCTATCACACAAACTCAGTACAGCTGAACAGAAAAAAAGCAAATATTCCTCAGAAAAATATTGATAGGAAACATGTAAATCTAAACCAAATGTAAATCTAAGTGCTTATGGAACATGATAAAGAGAAACTAATACTAATTGATTTTAACAGTAAATATAAACTTTCAAAAGCTAGAAGTTGGAGCTGGGAAGTTGGCTCAGTGGTAGAGTGCTTGCCTCATATGAATGAGGCCTGGTTTTGATTCCTTTGTACCACATAAGCAGAAAAAGCTGAAAGTGGCACTGTGGCTCAAGTGGTAGAGTGCTAGCCTTGAGCTGACGAGCTGAGGGACAGTGCCCAGGCCCAGAGTTCAGGCTCCACGATCAACAACAACAACAACAAGAAAGCTAAAAGTCAGGAAAAGTCTTGAGGAAAATGGAAATGAACATTAAGGTATATTCATTTGAACCCTGGAACATTAAAAAGTATTCATTAGAATACTGGAAGCTTTTGTCTTAAGAATGGGTAAGATAGCCAGGAATTGGTAACTCATGCTTATAATCCTAGAAAGTCAGAAGGCTGAGACTGAGGATTGGTTTTTGAAGTCATCCTGGGCAGAAAAGTCTATGAGACTCCATCTCCAATTAACCAGCACAAACTGGGCTGGAAGTAGTGCTCAAGTGATGAGAGCATCAGCTTTGAGCAAACAAGCTGAGTAAAAATACCAAGCCCTGAGATCAAGTCCCAGTACTGGATAAGTAAATAAATAAATGTCAGAGAAATTCCCAAGAACAGTTTAAAAAATAGTGGTGTTACTTTTATCAGTATTATATGTGCTTTATACAGAGATAATTAAAGTATCATTTCTTAAAATACCATTTTTTCACCAAAATGCTGGAAGTGCAGCTGTGGCTCAAGTTGGGAGAGCATCAGCCTTTCAGCAAAATATGGTAAGGGAGAGCTCCCAGTCCCCGAATTCAAGCCCTAGGACCACCACAAAATAAAACAAAACAAAACAAAAAATCCTGTTTAGTGACTGGTAAAATTTACTCATGCAGGCATATCAATTTAAAATTACAGTGCCCGAAAGCATAAGGAAATAACAAAGGTACAAAGGAAAAATCAACTATATTTAAGGAAGAAAAGCAAAGCCAGTGTGAGCAGAGAGTATTCAGTAAGAAGAGAGTAGTGAGCAATTAAATGGGAGGGCTAGCTGTAGGGAATTCAGCCACAGTAAAATATATATGTGTGTATGTGTGTGTATATACATATATATATATATATGTGTGTGTGTATGTATGAAATGTCATTTTAATGCAATGGAAAAAGATTGGAAGTTTTAGGCAGCAAAGAAAAATTATCTGGCTTAGGTACAGACACAGAACTATATATAATACACACACACACACTCACACTTATTTTTTTTGCCAGTCCTGGGGCTTGAACTCAGGTTCTGGACACTGTCCTTGAGCTTACTTTTGCTCAAGGCTAGCACTCTACCTCTTGAGCCACAGCGCCACTTCCAGCTTTTTCTCTTTATGTGGTACTGAGGAATCAAACATGGGGTTTTACACATGGTAGGCAAGTACTCTACCATTAAGCCACATTCCCAGCCCAGAACTATATTTTTAAGACAGAGACACTCAGAGTCCTAACTCTGAAGTCATATGCCTATCCTTAAATCATGTTGCTTTTCTATCATACAGAGTTTATTTGCTAGAGTTTGCTGTATGGAAATTAACAATAAAGAGTTAAGAATACTAGAAGTTGTGTTTTAAAAATGACTAAGAGAAATTCATAAGACTAGGAGATAAGATAAAACTAAGGGTTGAATCATAATGTAGATCATGGCAGGAATGCTTGGGGAAGAGATCACAGTCACACAGGTAACAAGAAAAGGACTAGAAGAGTTTCCCATTCTCTTGGAAGCTTACTCTTACCAACTCCAACCCATCCCACCATACCTTTTAGTAAATTAGAACTCAGAAGTCTTGGTTACTTTCCATTATGCTTACTTTGTAAAGTTCTACCACCTCAACACCCATACCGGGGACCAAGCTTCTAGTATCTAGATCTTTGGATAACACTCAAACAATATGCTAACTATAACAGTTGTAAATTTTGCTGAATATTTTTAAAGCTTTTCTTTTATTCATTTTTGTAGTGCTGGGGACTGACTGAACCCAGGTCGCATATAAGGTAGCAAGCACTCTTATTATTGAGACATATTCCTCAGTCCCCAAAATATTTTTATTAATGTAGTTGTATTTGAGTATAAGTTTCATTTAAAGTGGATTATTTAAAAATTGTTCCATTAATTTTTTACAGGTATTACATTGTCAAATGCCATGGTAAATGCAGGTTTGACTTCCTTTAAAAAAATTGAATCAACAGATGCAAGAGAACTTGAGCTGGTAATTAGTATTCACTTATTCCTAATGTTATCAAAGCCCAATTTAAATTCTAAAACCCAACTTTTATCACCTTATTTATAGAAAATTATTTCCTATAGTCATAAATATTTTGTCATAAATATATTTCTATAGTCATAAATATAGACATAAGGATTTAGAGTAATTATTACATAATATGTAATAATTATTAAAACTATTGATTCTAGAACTGGAGATGTGTCTCAGATGGTAGAGTGCCTATGTAGCAACTGGGAAGTCATGAGTTCAAATCCTAGTACCACCAAAACAAATGAACAAACAAAACCTTATTGATTAAAAATATATTTTGTTGAGCTGGGTGCTAGGTCTAATCCTAGCTACTCAGGAGACTTTGATCAAGGATCTTTCAAAGCCAGCATGGGCAGGAAAGTGTATGAGACTCTTACTTACCTTTAATTAACACAGAAAATCAGAAGTGGAGCTGTAGCTCACAGTGGTAGAATGTTAGCCTTGAGCAAAAGAGCTCAAGAATATTGCCCAGGCCATGAGTTCAAGTCCCATGACTGACAGAAAAAAAAATTTCTATTGAAAGAGTTGCAAGCATGTAATGAGAAAATAATGATTAATTTATTTCCATTTCAGATTTTAAGTAGACACCCTCCTTTTGGAACTCAAATAAAAGAAGCTGTGATGTATCTTCCAAAGTATGAACTTGAAGTAGAACAGGTAAATATTTTTTGTTTCTTAAATATTTGGATTATTTCTTAAGAGTAAAGCTACTATAACTGGTATGAATAGTAAGGTTGTTTTTTAAAACACTTTTATATGCCTATCCTTTTTTGAAGATTGCAAGATACAGTAATACCATGGTGGAAATATTAGTGACACTTACGTTAAGAAACTTTGAACAACTACAAACTAAACGAACAGCACCAGATTCTCACTATACCACCTTAATCATAGGTGATTCAGACAATCAGGTTGTTTTTAAACACAAAATTATGTAAGTAATTAAGATCATGTGTTATATATATTCATATAGAGTTAACATTAACTATAAATCATGTTAATATATAGTAGGTATATATTCCAGATAGGCTTTATCAGTGCAACTTGGATTCAACTATGGTTAAGAAAATTACGGTCAAAATAGTTTCATTGCAGGGAATGCATATAATCATAACATTCAATGTACATATGTGAAAAAGGAAGTGAAAAACTTGATATCAGTTATGGTGGGGAGGATACATGGGACAGGAAAAAATGATGGGAGAGTGATGAAGATACACTGGACATTTAAGTAGACATGTTAAATTGTAACCCTGATGCACAGATGTGTATATTTGAAGATTAAAAATAAAAAATATAAAGATTTCTCTGTTAATATTCTATTTGCCCTCCTCAGAATTTGGGGGAAGTAGTTTTCAGTACCCACTTTACTATTAGAGAAGACTAATCAGGAGTAATCAACCCTTAAAAATTAATATTTCAGTGTCTAGATCATTGTTTATATTTTTTCAGGGATTCTGTTTTGCTAAAAGCTGGAAACTGGGTTAAAAAAATTGATGTGAAGAGAGCTCTTATATCTGAAGATCTTAGCATAAATTAGCTCTGATTTTGGTAAGTTAAGTAATGAAGATATAGCTGTAAAAATATGATAGCTTTTAAAATTATTTCCTTTATGCTAAGACAGATAAACAAAATCATATTAAATAAAATGGTACCTTTACATAATATAAACAAGCTTTAAGGAAAACATCATCTATTTTGATGTGGAAAATAGAACATAGATCAGGATAGTTCATATTTGACTTGTTCAGTTATAGATATTTTCTTGTTTTGTTGGGTTTTTTTTGGGGGGGGGGGCGGTCATGGGCCTGAACTCTGGACCTGGGCACTGTCCCTCAACTCTTCAGCTCAAGGCTAGCGCTCTACTACTTGAGCCACAGTGCCACTTCCAGCTTTCTTTTTTCTGCTTAGTGGTTCTAAGGAATCGAACCCAAGGCCTCATGCATGCAAGGCAAGTGCTCTACCACTGAGCCACCTTCCCAGTCCTTATAGATATTTTCTAACACAGTTAAATTTCAATAGTTATAGAAACATTTTTAATGAAAATTAATATACTCATTTTTATTTGTCAAACATTTTCTGCTTTTAAGAATGTTTTTATTTCCTGGAATTCTTTTTTTTTGCTCAGTGGTGGGGCTTGAACTCTGGGCCTGGGCACTGTCCCTCAGCTATTCAGCTCAAGGCTAGCGCTCTACCGTTTGAGCCATAGCGCCACTTCTGGTTTTCTGGTGGTTTATTGGAGATAAGAGTTTCATGGCTTTTCTTGCCTGGACTGGCTTTGAACCATGATCCCCAGATCTCAGCCTCCTGAGTAACAAGGATTACAGATGTGAGCCACCAGCACCTGGCTCTTTCCTGGAATTTTTATCACTAGTGTTAAAATAGTATAAGAGATATAAAAAGAAAGAAATGATGAAAGAGCTGGTGGCTCATGCCTGTAATCCTAGCTACTCAGGAGGCTGAGATCTGAGGATCACAGTTTGACACCCAGCCCAAGCAGGAAAGTCTCTGAGACTCTTGTCTCCAATTAACCAGCAAAAAGCTGGAAGAGAAGCTGTGACTCAAGTGGTAGAGCACTAGCCTTGAGCAAAAAAGCTCAGGGATAGTGACTAGACCCTGAGTTCAAGCCCTAGGACAGAGAGAGAGAGAGAGAAAAGGAACATGTCCTCATATATGGCCTCATTTATGACCTTTTCTCTTTCTAGTTGGACTTGATATTCAGCAAAAGTTTACAGTCTTTTATTTAGGACCCAAGAGCTTTGGAAGTCAAGTAATTAAGCAGAAAAAATCAGAAGCAGATATTTCCCATTTTGAACATCCAGATAGGTCTGCTGTAACAGGAGCTTGTAAAGGTAAATATCTCTTTTAATTTCTATAATACCTATTTTGTATTAAAACATCAGTAAGGCCAGGGAGGAGTATTGCTGTAAATACTACTTCACTCAGGGATATTCTGAAATTAGATATTTAAGTATCATGCATTAATAGTATGTTGGTATATGGTAGGAAGTCTTTCTTATAGTTAATATTTCTCTATTTGAAATGGTATTTAGGTCAGAAAGTATTTGATTATTCTTTTATATGAATTTTCCCTTTTCTATGTCTACTTCATTCTAATAGCCATTATCAGGAAGAAAATATGTACAAAAACTTACAGATTTGATAAAGTAGACTAGAATGAAAATTAGTTTTCTTACTATGGGAATTTTTCGAAGATATACAGAAGGATATAATGAACTGTTAGATACTGATTAACCAATTTAAACAATGATCAATTCATGGATAAAGTTGTTTTATTCAAATCTCACTTGAATTTTCCCCATTCATCCTTTAAAGCAAATCTCAAGTATCATATCAATCCTTCTATTCACATTAGACAGTGAAGCAGTAAAAATTAATATATAATGAGGTATAACTATGCAGCTATTAGAAAATAACTTGATACAGATATATAATCACAATTATTATTAATTTTGGTATGAACATAATTGATACAACTAATTTGGAAGTAATCATAGTATTATAAAGCTTAGTAGTAGTATTTACAAAGCTTAACATACATATATTCTATGATAGAGCAATTCTTTTTCTAGGATTATACTTGGTAGAAGTATGCATATATGTTCACAAAAAGACATTTGTTTTAAAAAGTTAGTGTATATACATTTGCATATTAAAAATGGAAAAGGATTTGTCTAGATTTCAATGATATTCTTCCTTTAATTCTTTCATGAAAATTCACAGATCCCCAAAGATAGATAAATGAGTAGATCTTTAAAACATAACACTTCCCCATCAAAAAATTAGGCTATAGGGGCTGGGAAGGTGGCTCAGTGGTAGAGTACTTGCCTTGCATGCATGAGGCCCTGGGTTCGATTCCTCAGCGCCACATAAACAGAAAAAGCCGGAAGTGGTACTGTAGCTCAAGTGGTAGAGCACTAGCCTTGAACTGAAGAGCTGGGGGACAGCGTCCAGGCCCAGAGTTCAAGCCCCACAACTGACAAAAAAAAAAAGTAGGCTATAGTTATTTATACTACAAATTCTCAAATCTCCATTCTGGCCACAATTTCTTGGCTACAAAGTTATCAGGAAACTTCTTTTTTGCAATCCCAAATTGAAATTCCCAGAAGGGAGGAAATATCTCAGTTTAAGAAAGAATTTAGGGGACTGGAGGCATGACTCCGTTTGTAGAGCACTAACCAATGAGTGAAAACATCAGGCACTGAGTTCAAGTTCCAGTCTCAGACAAAAAACAAAAGAAAGAGAGAAGGGCAGAAGGGAGAGAGAGAGAGAGAGAGAGAGAGAGAGAGAGAGAGAGAGAGAGAGAGAGGAGAGCGAGGAGAGAGAAAGAAAGAAAAGAAAAGAAAGAGAAAGAAAGCAAGCAAGCATGAAATTTACATTGGGCATTTGTATCTCAAACCTGTTATCCAAGATACTTTGGAAGGCTGAGATCAGAATGATCTTGGTTCTAGGCCAGTACATGCAAAGAAAGCTTATGAGACATCATTTCAGCTGAAGAAACATGCATCTGTGGCATGCATATGTCATTCATGCTAAATTTGGGCAAAAGGTGAGGCTCTACCTCAAAACATCCAGTGCAAAAAGGGATTGGAACCATGGTTCAGCAGTAGAATATTCTTAGCAAGTAGGAGGCCCTGAGTTCAAGCCAAGACAATTTGGGATTATTAGGGCTGCAGTAGGATAGTATAAACTCAAAACTGTCATGTCAGATAGTCCTCTTTTACCATATGCAGAGAGAATCAAAGGTGGATGGACTATGAAGGAAAGGGAAAAGGAAAGCAGAGGTACAGAGTGAAGCAGAGGTGAGAATGCCAGGGCTGAGGTCTAATGGCTTTCCACTTCCTACTTCTAAGCTACAGGAAAGCTTAGCTATATTAATGCTTTGGGGTTCTATGAGATATGTTCACATATTTTTCTGCCCAATATCAGCTCTTTGTTTAAAATAGCTTGAATTGTTTCTGTTACTGAAGCTGCTATGAAAGATTGGATGTCTGCTATACTTTGTACTTAGCATCAGTCTTTTATAAAGGCAGAGGTTCTCCCCATATTTAGCACAGCCCTGCAGAAAGCACACAGATGATGTATCCTATCAGACAGGTAATATTTTATACATACACGCATTTTTACATAAATACTTACACAGCTATTCTAAATCTGAAGAATTTATATATATCTGATTGTATAACTTAACACTTTGATGAAAATTCACAGATCTCCAAAGCTAGATAGATGAGAACTTTTAAACCTAACATATATAAACTCTCTGTCGAAGAGTTCAGTGATTTACCCTAAGATTGTGCCACAAAATTTGTGTTTTTTAACTAAACAATTTAAGTCATTTTGTTTTCATGCCATTAAATTACTGACACCACTGCTTCTTGACTTGTGAGTTTATATCTTGATAAACGCATCCAGTTGAAATGCATTTAATATACCAAACCTATTGAGCACCATAGTTTCACAACATAGCACCTACGAAGTCTAGTTGATTACTCACAAAATTGTGAGGCACTGGAGCCATGTCTCCCTGCCACTGCCAGTATTGCAAGAGAGCAGTGCGCACCACACAGCATTAACCTCATGAAAGATAAAAACTCAGACGTTTAAAGACTGGTTTCTATTGGATGCATGTCACTTTCCAGTCAGTGTAAAGTTGAGAATCATCAAGTTGGAGACTGTCTTGTATTTGGTTTAGATAGTATAGTTCAGTACAATTCTAGTTGAGATCATTAACAAATTTGCTTTACTTGAAGTACTTGGAACCAGCAGCTT